TTAATCCTCATGGTAACATGTGAAATAGATATCTTTATCATCTTCATTTTACAATTGAGCAAACTAAGGCTGTAGAAAGATTAAATCATTTGCCCAATATCATCCATTAAGTGGAAAGGTGGGAATTAAAACACAAGTGGTTGGACTCCAAAACTGTAGCTTTTAACCACTATATTGTGCTCCTTTGCACAATAAGGGCCCACCTAATTGGGTGAAGAAAGAGTGCATTTGCCTCCATCTCTTTGTAGTCAGTCTGAAATCAGTTAGGTTCTGGCTTGATTTATAGTATGTCTTTGAGAATAAGGCCACAAACAGAATCTGCCTTGGGGTTGAGTTCAGAGATTAAGACAAGTCAAAAGTAAGTTTCTGTCACTGAAGATGGGACAGTTTTATGGTGAGCCATGTATTTGTAACTTAGCCCTAAGTAATCTATTTGTAACTAAGCCGTAAGTAATTTTGTTGGCTTCACTTACTGACTGTGTGACACTTAATATCCCCGAATGGTAGTTTTCTAATTTGAAGGACATTGGTTTCCAGATTGAGGATCTGCTTAGGGCCTAGCAGTGGTACTAGCAGTTTAACAGTGGATGAGAATTGACCTGCAGAAAGACATCATCTTGAAATTTTAGATAACACAACATAAAGCACTTTAAGTGTTTCCAGAAGGGAAAAAGCATTGTATGAAGGATCAGGAATCAGAGTGGCTTTAGGAATCCCACAAACTGTTGAGACAATGGAATAAAACTTTAAAATTTTTGCAGAGAACTTATTTCTCTTAAGTGTGAGGGTAGAATAAAAAGACATTTTCAGGTGTATAGTCTCAAAATGTATTTCCCATGTGCATTCTTCAAGGAAGCCACTAGAGGATGTGTTCACCAGATCAAGGGAACCAAGAAAAGAGTAAAACATGGTGTCTATGAAAAGGAGGTCCAGCCCATGAGGTTAAGGGAAATAGTAAATAGTAATAGTAAAGGGAAATTCCGGGGTGACAGCTATACAGCAGGCCTGGAAAGCTGTTCACCCAGATCACAGCAGGTCAGGAGGCTCCAAGACCAATTTCTCTAAAAAGATGAAATTCACAGAATGCTGAATACTTTTGCACATATTGAGAGGAGATTTAAACAATTGGGAGAGAATTCGAAACTACACTGGTGACAAATAATATTGATTAAAAACAACAACCAAAACAGCAGTAGCTCCAAGGAAAACAAAAGCTATCAGGAAAGAAAAAGTAATCCTAGTATGCTACATGACTCATCTGTGAATAGCATTTATAGTCATAACGTACAGTTTGAATAATGATCTAGCCAAAATTAAGCAATTATATAAGACCAAATCACTAGTGATCTGCTATGGCTGTATTAAAAAGATGGTGGGGAGGAGCAGGAAAAATTAATGTGAATGTGGCAGGGGATGAAATGGCTAAATTTCCTCTTTCATAGTGAGAAATCTATAGATTTAATGTCAAAAACTGAAAAATTAAATAACAATGTAAATTTTTTTTTATAGAGATGAATATATTTTAAAAAGTTAAAAGGAGATAAAAGTAGTGTGTCTTTCTGGGGAATGGGATTGACAATAGCAATGGTCTTAAAGTTAATACCTGTGATTGTTGATTGGGCCCAGTATACATGTATCTGTAATATGCGGGAGGGAATGTGGGAAAGAGGAACTGTGTGAAGTTACAGCATCTGCTGTATCTTAATTGGCAATATATTGCCTATATCAGGGATCCCTAAGACTACTTTGTTCAGTGATTCACTAGAAGGACTCACAGGACTCTGTGTGTAGTTGTACTCGTGGGCAAGGTTTATTTCAGCAAAGGAAAAAGATCCATAGGATGGAAGTCTGGAGGAAACCAAGTGCAAGATTCCAAGAGTGTTCTCCCAATGGAGTCCCATAATTTGTGCTTAATTCCTCTAGCAACAGTGATCTAACAGTACGTGTGGAATGTTGTCTGCCAAGGGAACTCATTAGAAACCCAGTGCCCAGGTTTTTTACTGGGGGCTGATTAAGTATGCACCCTCTGCCTAGCCTGTGCCCAAATTCCAGACTCCTAGAAAGAAAACTGGTATTTAGCATAAACCACATTATTTATATAAACAGTTTAAGCACAATGAGCCACTCTTATCACGTAGGGGAAGTTTTGTATCAGTGTAGGAGACTGTTTACCAGCCAACTTTCCAACACCAGCCTTTCTAGCAGGCCTTTCTAGGGATGGCAGTCTCATACCTATATTACCTCTTTTCTGCACAGAGCCTTTCTTCATCATTTATCCTGTGAGGCCCCACATGAAAGAAGCCAACCTTTGCTTTGCCTTTTTATTACAAAAGGAAAGCAATTTGCACTTACGGTTGAGGAAGGTAAGAGTGAGAGAAAAAAGTTTCTAAAATGCCCTGAATAGGTAGAGAGAAAATAGAAGAGTAACATACATTTTAGTTGATGAGCGGTTTTGAGAATGACAGAAAATAAATCAGAAAAATAAGCACTTTAACGTCCACCCTCCTGTTTTTCCAGAAGTCTCTGTTCTACAGCAGAGATGCTGTTTCCTCTGAAATAGGGTGAAGGTTTTTTTCATGCACCCAAAATGGATGATGCTCCCATCTCCTTAGAAATCATATAATAAACTTTCTTTGGGATTCAGTAGAAATGTTCCTGTGCCGCTTACTGAAGATTGCTTCTAGGTACTAGAACTGTGGAGGTAGATCTAGGGCTATTTCAGCACCTGCCGTAATGGCTTCTTCTGTGTTTAATCCCCCGAAGTTGCCAATAAATTATCCTCTGAATTGTAAAGGCAAGTTTCTTTTCTGTAATGCCCTGCAGGTAGTAATGTGCAGCTTAAGTGTCTATGACTCTTTCTTTTTGGAATGACTCCAAAATTTTTTTAATGACTTTGTTTCACAAAAAGTTGAATTGTGAATTCTGGCTGTACAGGTTTCTTTTGCTTGCTGTTATCAAAATGGAATTTACTTAACTAAGTGTAAGTGAGCTATTTAGTAGAAAGCCTATTAATTTCTTCTTGGTTCAATCTGTATTTTTAAAATTAGGTGTCAAGTGTGATTTGTAGGAGGAATCACTATTATAGCATGCTGCCACGAGTAATTTGCTCAAAGAAAATTCTTGTTTTTATCATACATGAAAGGGAAAAAACCTTGATTGGCTTTTTAATCACTTGAAACATGACTGTTGTAATTCATGTTTTTTCGCTGAACAAACTTCACAGAACAGTTTTTCTTTGCGTAATAGTATATAGGATCACAATTTTTAAAACAAGTTTGATGAATTCTATTTCTACATTCCTTTAATATCTTCTCAATTACTTTTTACAGGTATTTATTCTGTCTCATTTCTTGTATACAGTATCTCTGATCTTGTGCTCAATCAGAAAGATAAATACAAAGTTCTGTCTTTAGGTAAAATCCATTCTAAAGCCAAGTGAATTTTGGATTGCCTGCTGGTTTGTAACTTTTATGAAATATGGTATTTGTTCACTTGATATAAAAAATTAAGAGTTGAGCATTATGATCTATAAAAGACAGGTTTATCAGATTATTTGTAGTACCCTGTTCCACGTAAGCTACGTTCATGTAATCATTTGCATTTGAGAACATTTTTTACTATATAAAATGTTCACGTCTTTAAAAATTTAAAAGGTGTTCTTTTTAATCAAAGTTTAAAGTGCTTTGAAAAAAATAAAAATCAAAAAAGGCATACGGTGAGAGGTCAGTCCCACTCTTGTCCCTCGACCTTCTCAAGATATCTGGGTGCACCAGTTTGTTTAACCAGTCCCCTATAGTTGAGTAGTTGAGTTACTTTTCACTATGAAAAACACTGCTGCAGTGAGTAGCCTTGTATATTAGTTCATGTGTATGCAGATACAGAAAAATTCCCGTAAGTAGAATCCAAGGTGCTAAATTGTTTTAGTATATGTTGTACCATTTTGAATTTCTACCAACAATGTGAGAAACAATCACTTGATTCTAACTAGCACAGTATTGGGAAACCTTTCTATACCTCTGTAGATGAGGGAAATTGAAATGGGGTTTGTCCAAAGTCATATAATTAACTGATAATAGGACTTGATTTTTTAATTCAAAATGTTTTTTCCAACACACTACACTGGACTTGCTGTTTTCCTACAGTTAAGACATGCTGGTAAAATAGAAAAGTTGTTAGCTGACAAAGATGTATTACAAGAGACCTTCCTCATTTTGTTAGTGTCTGAAAGTTCATGGATGTAAATTGTCTAAGTTTTGTGGTCATAGAATGAAAGGATGAACAAGTGGAGCTTTTTTCCTTGTTCCTACATTTGGGTAAAATGAGGATGGAATATGTGAGTTCACACAGTAGCCTCTGTAACCCAGGTAAATGTTCTGGTTTGGGGCTTATAGATTTAGCTTTCCAGCATGGAGACTTGGCAACATCATATGAGTACCACCTGATTCTAGTGACCTAGTCTCCTTCAACTTCATTTTTAAGTGTTTGTCTTTTAGTTGTCCAACATTAGGGGACAAGGAGTAAATGTACATATACTTGAAGATGCTCTTGTTAAGTAAAAATGCAACCAAGTAAATTTTAAAGATCTGATTGGCTTTAATAATAGATTCATGAATCGGGTAGCATCCCATCTAGCAAGTAGAGGGAAGCTCCAAAAGGCTACAGAAATGGAAAGATTTTTAAAGCTAGAGAGGGAGTGGAAAAGAGGAAGTTATTAGTGAAGAAATCATTGTTTTAAGGAATGGAAGGGGTCTATCAGTAAATTTCCTAGTGCTGACCAGGAAATTCCTCTGTTGACTGGCTAAAGGATACATTTCTTGGGGGTTGAAACTGCACTTAGGTTAGGTACTGGGTGTTAATTTGCTGACTTGAGGTCTTAACCTAAGTGACACCATTTTGGGCCTGGGTCAGGGGGTGGGCGTTTAAACACTCTTAAGGAAGTAGTTCGTTTCACTTTCAGTAAGATGCTATGTCTCTTCATGTACAGCTTTTCTATTTTACAGTGGAAGATTGATGATAAGCCTGTAAAAATTGACAAATGGGATGGATCAGCTGTGAAGAATTCTTTGGATGATTCTGCCAAAAAGGTATTTTCTTGAGGTGGAATTCTGTTAGCATATATATAGCTTATGACACGTCTGCAGGATCTTTTTTTCTGTGATTTGGAATGGCTGTAGTTGTTAGTTTTAGGAATTGAGCCATAAAGCAGTTTCTGAAATCCTTACAGTAAATGTGGGGAACATGTGTTAAAATGTTAGCTACCTCAAGCTTCTGTCAAATTCTCTATAATTTTTGAACTCCACGAAGCTGGTGATCTGTTGTTTTTGAGGTTAATTAGCCTAGAGCCAAGAGGGTTGAGGGAATATAGGACATTCATTCATGATTGGTCATCTCTCTATTTAAAAAGGGAAGAGGGGCACCTGAGTGGCTCACTCGGTTAAGCCTCTGACTCTTCATTTTGGCGCAGGTCATGATCTCAGGGTTGTAAGATCGAGCCTCACGTCAAGCCTCTTGTCGGACTCTGCAGTGGGTGTGGAACCTGCTAAAATTCTCTCTCTCTCTCTGCCCTCCCCCCTTCTCTCTTAACCAAATGAGCCACCCAGGTGTCCCTCCCCCTCCTCTCTTTAAAAGAAAAAAGCAGGGGACTTTTAGCTTTGTCCCAGGGAAAAAGTTGGGGATTAAAAAAATGTATGAGAAGTTATGAACTTGAGGGTTGCTGGAGTGGTGGGGAGGGTGGGAGGGATGGGGTGGCTGGGTGATAGACATTGGGGAGGGTATGTGCTATGGCGAGTGCTGTGAATTGTGCAAGACTGTTGAATCACAGATTTGTACCTCTGAAACAAATAATGCAATATATGTTAAAAAAAAAAAAAAAAGAAGAAGATAGCAGGAAGGGAAGAATGAAGGGGGGGAAATCGGAGGGGAAGACGAACCATGAGAGACGATGGACTCTGAAAAACAAACTGAGGGTTCTAGAGGGGAGGGGGGTGGGGGGATGGGTTAGCCTGGTGATGGGTATTAAAGAGGGCACTATTAAAGAGGGCACGTTCTGCGTGGAGCACTGGGTGTTATGCACAAACAATGAAACATGGAACACTACATCCAAAACTAATGATGTAATGTATGGTGATTAACATAACGATAAAAATTAAAAAAAAAAAAGTTGAACTTTTTCTCTGGGATCATTGTGAATAGCTTGAGTCTTTTTTTGCTTGGAGTGGTAAAATCCTGATTGGAGAGAGCTATTGGTAATTTATATGGTTCTTAACATAACTTATGGAAATTAAGAATAAAAGCAGGTACTAGGAAGGAAGCAATCCTGTGCACTTGATTCCTTGTTCTTTTTACTAGGTACTTCTGGAAAAGTACAAATATGTGGAGAATTTTGGTCTGATTGACGGTCGCCTCACCATCTGTACCATCTCCTGTTTCTTTGCCATAGTGGCTTTGATTTGGGATTATATGCACCCCTTTCCAGAATCTAAGCCTGTTTTGGCTTTGTGTGTCATATCATATCCTTTTATTTATGCTCAGGCTTGTTTTATGCTCAGGTTTGTTTCTGTTGTGACTGTTTATTAAAATCTCTACTGATAATTCTCCCTGCTCCCTACAAAAAACAAACTGATTCCAGGGTCCACTAATGTTAGAATTTAACATTATGAGCTATGGCATCTGTAATTTTAGTTATTATCATTGATATTTGAGATTTAATGTGGTTATTTTATCTTTAATTCTGTTTAGTTATTGTAGAGATCATTATCTTAGTATGAGTGCCTAATAGCAAAACACACGTTATAGTGAGACCCAGTTCTCATTTCTAGCCTGCCACATTCCCATTATACCTGGTCTGCTTCAAGAAACTCATTCCGGGATATTAGGGAAGAATCAGATTTTGGAGGTTCAGGTTTCCTTGAAGCTGAAGGGCTGGACTGGACATGCTCATACTGATCATGAGATAGAGGTGTGGCTTGTATAACATGGAATTAAACTCTGTTCTGGAGCTCGAGAACCTGGGTTTGAAATCCAAGCTATTTTGTGATCTTGTGATAATAAGAACTTAACTTACTGGAGACGTTTGAATGCTGCTCAGTTACAAATATGGGCAATACACATTCAGAATTAAAAAGATTAAATGAGACATGTTTGGTAATGTAATCTACTCTCAGATTCTTTTCTTTCCCCTCTCCTTTTATGATAAAAGTAGAATCATGTTTGTTACCTATCCACCTTGATTATTTCTCAAAAAGCTAAATTCAGAGAACTTTTATTATACTATTACTATAATTATAAAAATTCTACTTGTTCATAGTAACAGTTTTCTTGTGATTTCCACCACCTCCTCCCTAAGTCAATCTGGACATACTGCACTTTTCTTTGTAACTTAAAAAAATGTATTGGATGTCTTTTCATGTTGGAATATATAGGACTGCCTTATTCTTAATATCCACATAGTATTTTTGAGTGTCTGCTATGTGCCAGCACTGTACTAATTTAAAACAAATCATTTTGGTAGGCAGTTTACTTTTCTTAACAGTGCTGCCGCTACCTGAAATATTTCTAAAAAATGTGCTTTGGGGATTTTTCTTCTAGCAAGCCATTTAATAAAGCAGGCCCTGATTATAAATGGTATTATCCAAATTGATAACAAATCATAGTCCCAGAATTGGCACCTTCACTCCTTTTAGTAATCAGATAAATCATCCCAGTATGAATTTTTTCACCATTAAGGCAGTTCCAAAGAATATGCCATAGGTTCTGGAGGCAGTTCCCAAAGGAGTTCCAAAGAGGTTTAAACCATGAGGGCAACATTATTACAAATATATGGCCTCCCAAGAGAACCACCATGATGAAATTTCATTGGTTTGGTGTTTAAAGCAAAACGTGATCTTGCTATTTTTATAATCATGTCAGTTTTACATATAATGGTAATGACTTTTCTGTGCTAGACTGTGTGTGTGTGTGTGTGTGTGTACACATACACAAGGATGAAAAATAGAATAGCTAAATTTTCAGTGTTTTTGCAGCAAGATGAAACTATCTTCTCTAGGATTATCATTATGGAAGTTTTCATAGCCCTTGCTTGTCAGTTTGTGTTATTTCTTTGTGTGTGTATGTTTGTGTCTTTTCTCCTTAACTTTATCTGAACCTATTTTGTGATGATGGGGATCCTGACCATTTATACCTCATATAAGGAGAAGAGCATCTTTCTTGTGGCCCACAGGAAAGATCCTACAGGAATGGATCCTGATGATATTTGGCAACTGTCCTCCAGTCTCAAAAGGTATGACTATCCTCATAGATCCTTTAATCCTGCCGTTGGATTTTCTCTGGGAGTCGAGTCCTCTTCAACAATAGACTATTTTATTGTATGCTTACTCCGTGCAGATCATAGTGCCTGTCGTGTAAAACAAAGTAAGGGGTATGAATGGTCTAGAAGGTTTTTCCTAGCGTTGTACTTCTGAGATCATGTCATCACAGAAGTGCTCTGAGGATAAAGTGTGGGAGAAAGAACTTTGGTGGAAGGATGAAGAATGAGTCTTTTCCTCTGGCCAATAAATCGAGCCAATTAAGAGTACAGAACTGTGAAGGCCAAAGGTGTGAAGTGAGTTATTGAAGAACCCCATTAGCTTCTATGTCTTCTGTGATCTTGACGGCAGTCTGTGCAATCAGGAATTTTTGCAGCAATGCACTGGGCAACTCAGAGAAGCACATTTCAGTGTTTCTGACCCGCTGTGGGTATAACTTCATGCAGGTGATACCTGAGATCTTCTTAGGTATCCAGAGCTGGGTTTAAATTCCAGCTCATCTCTCTCTAGTGGTATAACTTCCTGTATATCATGTAAACTGTTTGAACTTTAGTCAAAACTGGATCACGAATGATTCATAGAGTTGTTGAGAAGATGCCAACTGGTATATATACCAAGTGTAAAAATAGCAAACGTCTGTGGAGCATTAACCATATACTGGGTATCATGCCAAGTGCATTATCTCATTCAAACCTTAGAACAACCCATTTTATGGATAAGAACACAGACCCAAAGAGTTTAATTAATTCTTCCAGGATCCTAGAGCCCAAAAGTGAATTCTAGCAGGTGTTCCAGCCCACATCTGAGTCCAGACCTCATGCTCTTAGTTACTATCCTAAAAACACAGGGGATAGGTCCTAGCACATGGTAGGCTCTTAAATTACAAGTACAGTTACTCACATATACAAAGGTAAGTGTAGCATCAACACCAAACAGCCTCTGTCATTACCAGCTTGTGAAGATGCTATGAGGAGGAGCGGAATGTCCTTCTGGGGTTCCAGCTGAGTTCTGGCAGGGCTCCCAGCTGCCTTTTGACCTCAGCCATCATAAATCTATGATGCCAGGCCCCTGAAACAGAGTTGCAGAATTCTAGACCCTAGCAACATCTTGATTTCTTTATTTTCATTCAAACATTCCATTTCATTCATATGTACATTCATATACACAATGTGTGTGTGTGTGTGTGTGTTTTTAAAGATTTTATTTATTTGAGAGAGAGACCAGAGTGAGAGAGCAAGCACGAGCTGGGAGGAGGGGCAGAGGGAGAGGGAGAAGCAGACTCCCTGCTGAGCAGGGAAGCCCGACATGGGGCTTGATCCCAGGACCCTGCGATCACGATCTGAGCCGAAGGCATATGCTTAACTGACTGAGCCACCCAGGTGCCCCTACCCAGTGTATTATTTTTTTAACAGCTTTATTGAGATATAGTTCACTTACCATACAGTTCACACACTTAAAAGTGTACAGGTCAGTGGTTTCTAGTGTGTTTACAGATACTGCAGCCATCACCACAGCCAACTTAGAACATTTTCATCATCTCAAAAAGAAACCCTGGGGGGTGCCTGGGTGGCTCAGTCATTAAGCGTCTGCCTTTGGCTCAGGTCATATGATCCCACGGTCCTGGGATCGAGCCCCGCATCGGGCTCCCTGCTCGGCAAAAGCCTGCTTCTCCCTCTCCCACTCCCCCTGCTTGTGTTCCCTCTCTCGCTGTGTCTCTCTCTGTCAAATAAATAAATAAAATCTTTAAAAAAAAAAAAAAAGAAACCCTGTACCCTTTAGCTGTCCTCTCCCTATCAACCCACCCCATTCCCTCAGTCTTAAGTCACCACTGATCTACTTTCCGTCTCTGTAGATTTCTCTGTTCTGGACATTTCATATGAATGGAATTATAGAATATATGGTCTTTTGTGACTGGCTTCTTTGACTTAGCATAATGTTTCCAAGGTTCATCCATGGTGTGGCATGTATCAATATTTCATTTCTTTTTATGCCAAATATCCCATTACATGGTTATACCACATTTTGTTATCCATTCATTAGTTGATAGACATTTGAGTCATTTCAGCCTTTTTGGCTATTGTGAATAATGTTGCTATAAATAATCACATACAAGTTTTTGTGTGGACATACGTTTTCATTTCGCAGGTAATGTCCTAGGAGAGGAACTACTGGGTCATACGGTAACTTTTTTTTTTTTTAAAGATTTATTTATTTGAGAGCGCGTGCGCGCACACACACACACACAAAAGCAGGGGGAGGTGGGGAGGGACAGACAGAGAGGGAGAGAGAATCTTAAGCAGACTCAGCGCCAAGTGCGGAGCCTGACACGGGATTTGATCTCACGACTCTGAGATCATGACCTGAGCCGAAATCAAGAGTCAGGTGCTTAACCCAGGTGCCCCATGTGGTAACTCTTTTTAATTGCTTGAGGAATTGCCAGACTGTTTTCCAAAACCACTGCACCATTTTCAGTCCCCCTAGCAGTGTACGAGGATTCTGATTTTTCCTCCTCCTTGCTGATTTTTACCAGCTGCCACATCGTTTCCTGTGGCGAGGAACTACGCCACCCCTGGTTGCTTCTCATTGCAGTTAAATACAGATTCACTTCTCTTTCCTTGAAGATAGCTCCTGGCTCATTGGCATTCTGACATAGCTCCTTTTGGAAGTCTTGGTCATTTCATTATCCAAATAGATGATGGGTTCCAGTTCTCTGGCTTCTCCTCTGATCATCTTGTTTTCTACCATGTCTTAAACACTTATTTCCTGGACATATCCTAGACTTTGCTGATAACTAATTACCTTCAGTAATTTCAGTTTTGAGTATCCCAGTCTCTGATCATTGCTTCCTCTTTTTCTGGTTCTCTTGTCCTAGTGGTTCTTCAGCCCCAATGGCATCTTTGATCCATTGAGCCTCCCAACTTTTCATTGTCCCTTTTCTCCTTCATTGTCTCACTTCTTCCCTACCCAACTTAGATTCCATGGCATTTCTGTAGTCTAGTTACTCTCACTGTCCTAGAGCAGCTTTCATACCTTCTCCTCTGTCCTCAAACCTACCCTCCTCTCTCATCTTTACTCTCGGCTTCTTTTGTTGCTGAGAAGATCAGAGCAGTCAGAAGCCTCCCATCATTACCTGCTTGCAGTGCTCTTCAGTCGGCTTCTTCCTGAGTTCCTTTCTACAGCCTTCTGTCCATTTGTCCACTAGGTTCTCTCTCCCTTTTCATTTACTTGATGTTTCCCTCTCTGCTGGATCATTCCTGGTGGCATACAAACATGCTGTCATTTCTCCCAACTAAAAAAAATTGGGTTTGTTCCTCTTATTCTCCTCACATGGTCTTATTTCTCTGCCCCCCTTTTCTTCTCTTTACTTTCTCTTGGATCTGCTTGTCTTTATTTCTCTTTTCTCATCTTACTCAACCAGCATTTGATAGTGGATCACTCTCTTCTTGTTATACTTCTTTTTTTTAAACTAGGTTTCTAGGATACCATAATCTTCTAATTTTCTTCTTAATATCTGCTTTTTAGTCTCTTTTGTGATGCCTCTAAATTTGAAATGCTGCTGGTGCTTGTTCCTAGTACCTCTTCTCTTTCTGTATTTGCTCGCTAGGTGTAATCTTATTTAGACTCTGAAGACTTTAAATACCATCTATATGATGAAGATCTCTGAATCTGTATTTTCATCCTACACCTCTGTCCTGAACTCCCAGATATATTCGTTTCCTGTTTGACATCGGATCCTAATAAGCATTTCAAAATCAGCACATTCAAAACCTAACTCAGCTATCCCTCATCCAAACCTGCATCCCTTCAGTTTTCCCCATCTCAATAAATGGCACTTCCATCCTTCTAGTTACTCAGTCCAGAACTCAGTCATTTTGACTGCTCCCTATTAGTCTTTCCAGTAGTCTGTCAGCAAATCCTGTCAGTTCTGCCTTCTAAATATATCAGTCTGACCACTTCCATCTCTTCTGCTACTTCATCTCTCAGTTAGGTTACTGTAATAATGTTCTCATGGACCTCCACAGCTGCTCTCCCTGCTCATAGTCTATTTCCAGTACAGCAGGCAGAGTGATCTTTTTAGAACGGAAGGCAGATCAGCTCAATCCTCCACTCCAAACCTGTCACTCTGAGAAAATTCTAAATCCTAAACCCAGCTTAGAAGTCCATACTCATCTGTTCTCTGCACCCCACACACATAATGCACACACACCCCTTATATCCCATGGCTTCTTCCTCTCTCATACCATTCTGTTCTTTAGACATTCCATGCATGTTCTTGCCCTAGGGCTATTGCATTTGCTGTGAACTCTGCTTGGATTATTCTTTTTCCAGATAGCTTGTTCTTCTCTTCTCTTCTTCAGGGCCCTGCTCAGATATCTGCTTAATGAAGCCTTTCCTTTCAACTATATATAAAACATCATATTTTGTATTCTATTGTTGGTTCTTTCATATACACTAGGGTAAAAGTCCCAAAAGGCAGAGTTTTGTCTCTTATGTTCACTGCTGTATATCCTCAGCATCTGAGACTGCCTGACATGTAAAGTTAGGACTGAATAAATATTATATAATTATTCTATAATAACATTGTTATATTTTCCTGAAAATATTTTAGATGTAATAATTATATGTTGTGTAATTATCTAATATATAAGTTGTATACTACATAATATAAATACTAACTAAAGTGCATCAGATCACAACTCATCCGATCATGTCCTACCATCAAAGCCATGGAACTGCCAGTGGAACTGGGCCTAAAAGTTCCGAGATTATTGTGAAATCAATTAATAGCAGTTGACTCGAGTTTGAGAAAAATTTTGAGGTGTTGAAAATAGTTTAAGGACTTTCAGTCATAGCTATCCAGGTTGGGAGTAACTGACTAGGCAACAGTTTTTTTTGTTTTGTTTTGTTTTGTTTTAGTATGGTTGACACATGATGTTACATTAATTCCAAGTGTACAACATAGTGATTTAGCATCTCTGTAGTTAGCTCGCCACAGGTGTAGCTACTATCTGTCCCCATGCAGTGCTGTTACAGTATCTTGACTTTTATCCCTGTGACTTACCCATTCCATAACTGGAAGCCTGTGTCTCCCACTCCCCTTGCCCCATTTTGCCCATCCCCCCAGCCACCTCCCCTCTGGCAACCGTCAGTTTGTTCTGTGTGTTTACAGGTCAGTTTGTTCTGTGTGTTTACAGGTCTGATTCTGTTTTTTGTATGTTTAATTCATTTGTTTTGTTTTTTGGATCCCACATATAAGTGAAATGATGTGGTATTTATCTTTCTCTGGCTTATTTAATTTAGCCTAATACCCTCCAGGTCCATCCGTGTCATCTGTCACAAATGACAAGATCTTGTCCTTTTTTGTGACTGTGTAATACTCCATTGTTTATATATACCACACGTTGTTTATTCGTTTATTGATGGACACAGTATCTGAGTTGACACTGCTTCCATATCTTGGCTATTGTAAATAATGCTGCAGTAAATATAAGGGGATATGTATCTTTTCAAATTAGCGTTTTCGTTTTCTTTGGGTAAATACCCAGTAGTGGAATTACTAGATCATACAGTAATTCTGTTTTTAATTTTTTGAGGAACTTCCATTCTGTTTTCCACTGTAATTGGCTGCACCAATTTATATTCCCACCAACAGTCCAGAGTGTTCCTTTTTCTCCACATCCTTACCAACACTCGTTATTTCTTAGACAATAATGTATTGAGCTATGATTTTTTGAGCACTGGTTAATAATAGGCACTGTTTTAACCATGACAGTAATCCTGAAAACTAGATGGTAGTTTTCCTGTTTTAAACATGCAGGAACAGAGGCTCCAGCAATTGCTTCCCCTAAAGGTAGTAACAGCTTGACAATCCACTGAATGTGCCCTAATTAAATGGAGACAGAAACAAACAGGTCATAGTCAGGGGGAGGAACATCAGCCTGCCAGAGGTTGATTTTTATAAACCCTCTTGAATGGGTAGAGATAGCGAAGGCCTTCAAGGTACCTTAAGACACAGGTAAGGAATCTCTGGAATTCATGTAGTTAAAGATCTCTCTGGCCTGGAATACGGGTAGAACCTGGAACTAGATTGATTACAGGGAACAAGGACTGAGCAGCCTGGAATTGGTGAACATCGCTGGAAAACAAAGGTTCTTCATTTATTCATAAAATTTGGTTGTTTACCAAGTGCCAAGCAAGGAATAGAAAACAAATAAGACTGAATTCTTGTCCTCAAGAATCTTTGAGTTTAGTCAAGAACACAGATACATAGACATCATTTCAGTAGATAATTTGATTGACAGCATGGGAGCCTAGCATTAGACCTGGCATATGCTAGGTGCTCAGTATCTGAGTTGACAATTTGATGGTGTGGTGTATGACAAAGAAGAGACAATCTGACCCAGTTTAGGAAGGGTATCCCAGAAAAGTTTATGCCCTAATATTAACAAATGGGAACTAGTCAGGTGAGATTAGAGAGAAGTGTCTACTAGGAAGACCCTTCTAGCATAACAAGTGTATAAAGTTCAGAGGTAAGCGGTGGGGGGGTGGTCCATATAACTTAACAGTCTATGACAAGGTAAAGGAGGTACACAGTAAATAAGGCAGACATGGCAGTACCTATGAATCAGAACTCGTATTTTGAAGGCAATTAGGCACCCCTGGATTTTTTTTTTTTTTTTTTGTAAGGATCTGTGTGTTACCTGTATCACCAGTAGCCAGCTCAGCCCTATTCTTCAAAACCACTTACTTGATGAATCTCTATCTTTGGTTTTTATTATCTTTGCTTAGGTTTGATGACAAATACACTCTGAAGTTGACCTTCATCAGTGGAAGAACAAAGCAGCAGCGAGAGGCCGAGTTCACCAAGTCCATTGCTAAGTTTTTTGACCACAGCGGGACACTGGTAATGGATGCATATGAGCCTGAAATATCCAGGCTCCATGACAGTCTTGCCACAGAAAGAAAAATAAAATAGCCAGTTCTAAAAGCAGCCATCTTTGCTGGATCATGCTGAATTTCGGGGTGAGGGAGAAGGAAACAGAACTTAAAATGGATAAAGTAAGATATGTTAAAAATGTCCCTGTTTTGTCCTGAAATTTTAGTCCATTCTGGATAAATAGGATTTTCTAGTTCAGATATGAGAAGTTGTAGCTCTGATATCTAGCTTTAGCCTTGGTCTTCTGATTGTGTTGTTTTGATTTGCTTTTCTGGAAAAGCATTTTTGCTAGCAGCCATACAGACTTCGTCCTTCATACCTAGCAGTACTTTATATTGTATAGCTTTGTGCCATGCAGCTTTTGAAGGCTCAGTTTTTGAAACTGTTAACCTGTTGCTGACTTTATTGTGTTAATTCCTATTTCAACAGCTATTTCCCTTAATTCAGGATACAACTTCTTGTGTATGACAGCTTTCCTTCACACACCAATTTTGTGGGTGTGTATATATCTGACTTTGGGAGAATTGGAAAAAAACACAGCTTTTTAATTTGTTTAAAACAGACCTTCTGCCTGTTACATTTTGTGCTCTTAACCAATTAAAGAAGCCAATGGCATTTTTAATTTTATATTGTCTATGTTTTCCACTAGTATATCCCTGTTGATTTGTTTGTGCCCTTTATTAACTGCCATTTTCTAAAATTTTTTTCAATAAAAGGAAAGAAGATGTGAAAAAATGGAGTCATAGTCTTGATGGAAGAAACAGAGCAGCAAGTGTTAACAGTCTCACTACGATAGGTTCCTTTGGTTTTTAGGCAGTTTTACTGGTCAGAAACCTATGTGCAACTGTAGGTGAAGAACTGCTAGCTTTCCGGGGATAACAATTACGACACTCAGTACTTCGTGCCAACCAGTGTTCCAAGTGCTTGACATGTATTAACTCACTGATGCTCACAACAGTCCTGAGAAGTGGGTGCTGTTATTATCCCCATTCTATAGATGAGGAAAGTGAGGCACAAAAGTTGAATAATTTGTCACACAGCTGGTGTTGGAACTGGGATTTAAACCTGGTTTGTCTGGTAAATCTCATTCCTTCTCTAGGAATGTGTCTGAACCTGTCAAAGAGGTTTTAGATGATGTATCTTTTGAAATGATTAAAGCTCTTTACCTCCCAGAAATGCCCACATAGAAAACATTTCTTAGGAATATGAAGATATGAGTGTTGTAATCCCTTCAATCTGCCCATAAACCCCACTTTGAGATTTCATAGGCTACGTGGATCTCTTAAGGTTTTTCCCTGACTCCAGAAACCATTTGAGGCAGTATCATCTTCTAAATAAAGAAGTGGATTAGCAGCCCAGCAATGTGTTACATTTGGTCACCCTCCTCCCTGCCACATTTGTGGTATTTTAGGACAGTTTCCTCTCACTTGAGCAGGGTCAAGCCTCACCATGGGTTTGTGGGTTTGTGGGTTTGTGGAACTGCAGAGCACCTCAGGCTGGCTCTCAGCACCTGCATTGGCCAGTAGTCACTCCAGCCCCTTTTGAGTGCCTCTGGGCTCCTCTTTTTCCTCTTTAGTAGTTCTGCAGCACCCCTCCCACCAGCATACCCTGACACCCATCACATTCTCCTGGCTCTCAACTCCTCACACTCGCCTAGAATGGACTTGGGTCTTCCAAAATAGATGAGACCGTGAGCAGAGTGGGGAAAGATATCTAATGTTCATTATTTGCAAATTTCAGCTGCTAATGTGTATTTGATGTTTGATGATTTTATATATTTTTAGAAACCATCTTTTTGCTTCAAAACAACCTGAGGGAATGGCAAAAAATGCAAAGTTCCTTTGAATACTCAACACCAGTTATATTTTTCTCTGGGTCCAGTTTCCTCCTCCGTTGAAAGCCCTTTCTCTCACCGACTATTTACCTTATCTCCACCCTTGGCTAGACACCCCTCTCCCTACCTCAAACTTTGTCTGCCTGATGGAAACCATTTGAGAAAACTGCTAAATCACAATATTTTTTCTAGAACGTATCGTTGTCCCCACTGACAGGCTCTTATTAAGTAGAATATTCTTAACAACCCAGCCTGAGAGTACATGTGCTCAGATGACTTCTGATATCCACAACTATGTTGAGAATAATTGCAGGGATTCACGGCCCTTTTTTTGCGCCCTGGTCCTTTTTGACGGTCTGGTGTTGTCTATGGCTCTCTACTCAGGATGATGTTTTAAATACGTAAATACATTATTGCCTGTTACAATGAGGAGGACTGGGGAAGTAGGTTCAAAGACGGTTGCTCAGAAGGTGCCTTGGCTGTTGCTTACTTTCCTCTGGGCAGGACTTCCTCACTAATCTGGCAGCCTTGGCTCTGCCCTATTGTAATTACTGACCCTGTTATTCACTAATATTCATTGTGAGTGGGCAGCAGGTTTCTCCTTTCAGACAGCAGTTATAGGGAAACACACCTACACGAGCATGAAGAGGTAAATTCCCTGCTTCTGTGGGCAGAAACTAGGTGAATTGTTAGAACTTTAGCTGGTTTGCTTGGGAGAGAAGTGATTTGGGTACAAAATGCTTGTTAAAGAAGAATGGCAACTGTTTCGTTGTCTTGCAGCCAGATCCCTCCTACAGTCTATCAAGCCAACCTTAGATCTGTTCGAAGACCACAGTAAGGAACTCAAAATTTTTTGTAGTGGGTCTTGTCTCCTGTGAGGGAGCTTTGGCCCTTGGCGGGGGAGATTTCCCTCTGACAAACAAACCCTGTGACAATGGGAAACCATTGATGAGTATTGAATAGTATTCAGGCCCATAGTTCCCTGTATTTGGTTTATAATGCTGTAGAAGGTGACCCACTGGAGAATGAGAAACTGTTAGGAGAGGCAATCTACCATGAGCCCTGAGTACCACTGTGTGTTCTTGCTTCATATGAATGTAAGACCCTGACCCCTTCCTCGACATATCTGTGTTCTGTTGACAGCAGTCTTGAGAGATGAAATAATATCTCTTCCCAAGGAGCAGGTTTCCCTACTGTGCATTATAAAAATGTTGAATCCCCCAAGCTCAGGGTTCTTTCCCTATGACACACTCCCCCGGCATGTATGTGTAGGTATCTGTCTAGGCCTACCCCAAGTCACTTTTTTGGGGGGAGGCATGGAGAACTGGCACAAACATCATGCTCATGTTGCTTCTTGTAAGCGTAAAGTTCTCTTATCTCTGATCTGGGAGTCTCCTGTCACTTGCCAGTTGTAAGTAGGATAAAATTCCAGACCTTTCATAGATTACTCTGACAGTTTGGGTAACGAGGATGAGATCCTGACAGACATGGCTTTCTAAAAGAGAAAGGACATGGGTCCGGTGAGGGAATATGAGAAAATAACCTGGGGTCTGGTAGGAGGAAATGCTGCTGTGCAAGCGGGTGAGTAAGGGTCCCTCATTGTCCCACCTGTTAATGAATATTTCAAGGCTAAATAGCAAGAGGTAGGATTGAAACACATTGCCCAAATGGTACTTAGGTTGTTGCTTACTCTTCTCTGGACAGGAGGAGGAAAGGATGTTTTGATAACAAAGCAGCGTGCCTGTGGCCCCCACTGAAGGCCCTATGACTGTGACTGATGAGGTTTCCCCAAAGGTGAAATAGATGGTGTCAGCAAAAAAGATACAGAGCTTTGAATGGACCAAATATATTCGGAGTTTGTTGAGTCCAAGGAGGTAGCCTTTTGAAATGAAAGTAAATACATGACCTTGTTTACTGGCACAAGGTCAGTCTCCCTCTGTAAACCCCTAATCCTTCTCTCCCTCTCTTTTAAGGAAAGACGTTCTTTGTGCTGGGGGTTTTTGAGGAGAGGGACTCTTTTTATAGCTCTGTTGAATATAAGCATCTAGGTCACTATCCTACTTGGTCCCATGGAGACAGGAAGCCCTGGGCACGAATGGTCAGAAGTACCAAGGAGTGTGGAGCAGATACATGGTAGTAATGCAAGGCAGGCAAAAAAAAACCAAAAAAAAACAAAAAAAACAGCTCCTGAGCCCTAGGTGCTTGTTAGAGCCAAGAGATATACAAGGGAAGAGGAGGCACTGACCCTGGAGCAGGAGTCTGAGGAGAAGAGGCCTTCCCACTGACCCAGCTGCTCCCTGCAGGCTAGCCTCTCCCACTCCCTTCGTGTCCTCACATTCTTTGCTGGGATGGAGTATAATCTTTTGGTGGCTGTGCCTTCCAATATCTCTCTCTTAGATTGCCTGGTTTGAGTTCCCATAGTTGGGGTCAGGGGGCGGTGGGGAGAAGTGCCTGAATTCATGTGGCAAAGTTTGGGCAAAGTCTGTCGTGAGAAAGGAAAATGAGAGCGACAGTAGGGGAGCCTCTGAACTGATTCAGTTACTGTTGTATGGCTTTCACAGTAATGTGTTACTGGTAGCAATTATCCACTCAGTTGAACTGTGAAAGTTTGTAAGTCTCCCATTCAGGGACTACTGCATATAGAGAAGTGATTCCTGGCTTCACTTGAGTAGTATAACAAACTCTAGAATCCTAAGAGGAGAGAAAGGAAAATGAACAGCTTTAGTTGAAAACTTGGTGACTGCTGGAGTACTCAGGCCATTTCCCAGTATAGCAGTGCTACATGTCCTTTGCAGGCACCAAGTATACCCTTTTAAAAAGTTGGACAGCCAGAGGCACCTGGGTGGCTGAGTGTCCAACTCTCGGTTTCCACTCAGGTCATGATCTCAGGGTCATGAGATCGAGCCCTGCGTCAGTCTCTGTACTGGTTATGGAGCCTGCTTAAGATTCTCTCTCTCACTCTCAACAAAAATAAAAATTGGACAGCTGGGAGGCTATTACTGAGCTATTGCTGAAACAATATCTGACCCATGGAAGCCTGATAAGTGGCCTAACACCCCCATTTTGGGTTATGTGAAATTAGAGGTGAAGCTAACAAAATGTGCAGCAACCTTCCCTAGTCAAATGGAAATGATGTGTTCTGGGGATGCAGCCAGCCGTCCATCTTAGTTTTACGTGAAGAAGTGGTAAGTCACTCCTTTGGAAGAACTGTATTCCCCACTCAGCTGCCTAAAGCAAAGCCACTGGCTCAATAGGACCCTTGATTCACAGAGACTTCCCTAATCAAATGCCTGGGCCTGGTTCACTGATGGTCCAGCTAAGTTAAGAGCTGTTGGTGTCAAGTGATGATTCTGGAAACTTGACTACAGTAAAGGTTGATCAGCACAATAGGCTGAATTGAAAACTGTTACCCGTGTCCTAGACAATCCCTAGGGACCAGACATGTTACATTTTTACTAACTCAGGCTGTTGCCAATGGCCTAGTCTTCTGGTCTGTCACTTGGAAGACACAGACTGTCAGATTAAAGACACCCTTCTTGGGGGCCACAAACTAAAAATTGCAGCTGTTAAACTGGGTCACATGTAAGTGCCCATCGTGGGGGTTCATTCTCTGACGAGACCCAACTGGGAATCAAGTTGCTGATGGAGCCTGTGACCACTCAGACTGCCACCATCATTGCCTGGATTCACCCTCATACCAGTCATGGCCTTCCGTGCACCATCGTAGCCTGGGCACAGAGTAAAAGATTGATGGTTCTGACGCAGAGGCCACCGCTACAGGCCAGGCTTGTGACTCCTGTTAAAAGTCTTCTTTGTCTAGCACAGGCCTGGTCTCCACCCACTCCTGACTGATGGACTCTATCAGACCTTTGGTTCCCTCTTGGGGTTATCAGTAGTGCCTCAACACTGTT